GAAATATTAAGGGGGTACACATGTTTTAGGGTACATGATCGCTTTTGCGACGCTCGAGTCCCAGCTGTAGGTGTGCCCATCACCCGAATCGTGTTCGTAGTACCCGTTAGGTAGGGTTTTTTCTCCTCCCCTCCTCCCCTCTCTCCCCTGGTTTATTTCCGATGAGTTTTCACGTTTTTTTAGTCATCTTATCTTGCTGCGTTTCTCACTCATTTCTGGTGGAGTTCACACGGAGAATCATAGTTGAATAAAATTAATTGTATCATTGTTGTCTTAGAGAAATGCAATCCCTCGAATAAGGTCTCATTTCTTCAACCAGTTATCCTGATAATCTTACATAATAATAACAAGGACTTTAAATATTTACCAAGTGTAACTTCCCTGCTGAGCAATTTGTATCAAGTGTTTTCAGTCCCACAAAGGTAAAAGCTTTTGAGGTGTTAGGTGTACTTTGCTCATCTCTCTTTCTTCCTCTTCCTACTCCCACCGCTACCCAAGAAGCCTGGACTCTTGTGTTGGGAGATGTGTCTTTCTCGTTCTACAACTCAGGTTAGGACGCACTAACGAACTGTTGCTTTTTTCTTTCTTTCTTTTTTTAGTTTTTTGAATCCCCACATATTTCATCTTTCTTCCTCTGCCTCCATTTTGCTAAAAAAAAATAGATGAAAGATACCACTTTAGGAGGTAATGATCTAATCTCAAGTAATTTGGTAAAAATAAAGCATCATCGAAATATTAGTCATAGCGCCTCGAGGTTTGCGGAAGCGCATTGTGAGGTCCTGAGTGTGAGCTCTGTTTTGATGTTGTCACTTGCTAGACTCTACCCACAACGCGGTCAGAGCGTTGAAGACCTTGAACATTGGGGAAAGCATCTGTGGCTTTATTTAGGTGGAAGGTTTCAAATGGTAAGTGATGGAATTTGGTTGACCCTTCAGTAGGCCTAACTCTATACTACTCAGAGGTCACATCTCTGCTGGATGTAGTGGCTCACGCCTATAATCCTAGCACTCTGGGAGGCTGAGGCAGGAGGATCACTTGAGCTCAGGAATTCAAGACCAGCCTGAGCAAGAGTAAGACCCCGTCTCCTCTACAAATAGAAAAATTAGCAGGGTGTGGTGGCGCCTGTAGTCCCAGCTACTGGGGAGGCTGAGATGGGAGGATCGCTTGAGCTCAGGAGTTGGAGGCTGCAGTGAGCT